ACAACTAACGAAACACAGACCAGCAGTGAAGAGAAAGTGAAATTGCACGGGGAAAATCAAGTGCGTCGCATTCATGTTCGACGAGATCGATACGAACTCGACGGCGTTGAGATTGATCGCAATAGAAACGTAGGAATAACTACTAACGCTCAAAAAACTATGTAACGGTATCATCCGATAGAAGCGTGATTATGAAAAACGCCGGCTGGGAACCGTTGACCAACGCGAATGGACATTTCAATTTTTGCGTACCGCTCTACATGTTGCTGGGATTTTGCGAGGATTACAGACGCGTGGTGATTAACGCTCGTCACGAATTGATCTTGATACGATCGCGCAACGACGACAATTGTCTGCTTGGAAATTCGGCGCAGGAGCCTGAGCTCAACATATTCAAGATACAATGGCGAATGCCTCACGTGCTGTTGAGCGAAATCAAAAAGTTGTCGATGCTCCGTGCTCTGGAAAGCGGACGATATCTCAGCATGGCTTTTCGCTCGTGGGATCTGTACGAGTATCCGCTATTGCAGCTTACAACCAAGCATTCGTGGCCATTAAGACCGCGACTCAGCTGGAGAAACCACGATACGTCGTTTTCGCTCTGCAGACAGGTCGGAAGAATGTCATGTCTAAGGATGCGAGTGAATTCGACCACTGCAAATTGATCAACGTTAAACTTTATCTGAATTCGGAATATTATCCGTACGATGATATGAATCTGGATTTCGATAAAAACAGATATTCCATTCTGTACGACACGTATATGCGCTTCTGCAAGAATTATTACGGATACGAGTATCTCGAGCCGAGTCTCTCCGTCGGGATGTTTCAACTTTACGGTCCGTTCGTGATTATCGATTGTTCTCGACAAAACGAATCGGTCAAGAGCGCGACCGTGGATGTGAGATTGGAATTCGAGTGTAAGGAGAACGTGCCGCCGAATACCACTGCGTACTGTCTCATCATACACGATCGCGTGATCCAGTACAATCCGTTGACCAACGTTGTACGCAAAATCACCTAAGTGTTTGCGACACAAGAGAGAGGGGGAAGAGGAGCATGATATAAATCAAAGTCTTGCGAGATGGTTTTAGAGTTTTGTCGTTCCTCTCGACTGGCGTATCGAAGAGAGAGAGATCTCGTCATGTCCGTACCAACGTTTGTGGATCTGCAAGGATTTATCGTTGGGAAAAATTTTGTCGTGAAGGAAGCGGCAGTCTTGAGAAAGGGATACGTTCTATCGCATTACTTTTTCGCAAGTCCCGTACCGTGGCACACGCTTACAAAATCTGAGCGATGTCAAGTCTCATGGCTGATTAGAAATCATCACGGATTACAATGGGAAGACGGAAACGTTCCGTATGGCTTGGCTCAGCGTGCGATTACAACAGCTGTCGTTGGTACGATACATGAAGAAGAAGAAGAAGAAGAATCGTCTGTCGTGTACGTCAAAGGACTTGAAAAGCGAAAATGGCTGGCCGATATACTAGACGATGCGGGGAACGGCTATATTATTGAAACCTTGGATGCGGATTACGAAGATATCGATGCTCTAAATAAATTAGATGATACGAATAGTATGCGATGCGGAAAACATGTTAAGAATTGCGCCTTACAAAATGTATTCAAAATATTTAACTGGTGGTCGCGACGCCAGAAAGAATTGCGAGAAAAATAAAATATGTAAACATTAATATGCGTTATCTCTCTTATTTCCCCACCCTAATCCTTTGCATGCGTTTCTAAGAATTCTTTTGTTCGAGCGCCGCCTCCCTCTTATCCTAAATTCCAATGCGTTAGAAGCATTGATCCCCCACCACTACATTATACTTTTGGTAGATGAGCGTCGGTATAACCGATTAATTCCTGTACGATTCAGTGTCGCGCTCGTGGATTCACTTTTCATAACCTCCCAGAGAAATGTACTACGTTGAAAGAAGCAGCAGCGGCATCGGAAGACACGTGAATAATTACGTGCCGAGTCGTGATAAAACTCCATCGTTTGAGAACAAATACGACGAGTAAGTTTCGTTTAACATTTTTTTCTATTTTTCTATTTTTCTATTTTTACAAATTGTATTATTAGTATTACTTAATTTTAATTTTTCCCGTAGCATTTCGTCGGAGCGTCGTGCGGTTCGTATACTAGGCAGACGATACGCATTGACAGCTACGGAATTCAAATTCCTCGAAATCGGTATCAACGTGGGTCCGCCGAGTTACGTGGAGATTGTCATAGGAGATCATCGGGGAAAGGGACTGATATTATCTCTCGAAACGTGGAAGGGACTCTGCGAGCAACGTCGCAATATTCTAAATCTCCTTCGGAACGACTCTCACGACATGTATAATTTTATAAGCGTTGGACCGCTAACAGTGCGAGTTCGTACGATTAACGATGCCAAACTCATAAGTCTCGAATCTTCGAACGTATGCATGATGATGGTCGAATCGACGTTACATCGTATGTTCGATCTCGATGATTGCATAGATGTAACTTTTGATCGATTGAATAAAGTGATCGAGACAGTCGATGTCAAATTTACGCAATTCTCCAATATCGCGTCCACTGTAACGGATCCTAAAGAAGTATCAAATGTAATACGCGCGAGTGACGCTTTCAACAAGCATCAACTCGTCGATTGCGAGCTGGCGGCTTTAGCTTTTAGTCCATATAATATGTAAGACAAAAAATATGTAAAAAACATGAATAAAGAGTTTTAAGTTTACTATATCGTGGTGTACTTTCTTTGCGTTTGCCCATCCCAGCTTTCATGCATAGCTCCTCGCGAAAGAGAGAGAGTTATCATGAGAGAGCAAACACTAGGAAAGAAAGAAAGATAAGGATACGTCGAACGAAAAAAAATCTAGAATTACTTATATCGGGGGTGAGGGGTGTACCGCGAAAGCGCTGATATACGAGCGGTGGAAGCAAGGGTACAAAGCAGCCAAACATCGGCGCTGATACGTTAAAAATTCTTCCGAGAAAAAATCGTGAAAGACGATTCTGAGGTACTATTTGTTTATATTTTTATCAACCGGGCATGCGACACAATATTGCTTATACTTTCGATAAATATATGGGACCGCGCGTACTTTTTACGAGGCGTTTACGACGATATGGGATAATGTCACATCTCTATTATACGATCTCGTTTCGAGATCTCGCTGCCTTGTCAGAAAGTTTGGCAGTGCGCGAGTCGAGAAATCGAAAGTGAAGAAATCGAAAGTGAAGAAGTGAATATTTTTTCATATTACAACAATGGAGCTGCAAACACGTATAGACGAATGGAGATGCATAATCACCCTTTTCCGAGATGACAACAATAGTGCTATGGAAAAATCGAACACTAAACAGTTGTCGATAACACAATATGTGCGCGATCGAGAATTAGGCATACGAGGTATGCGTAAGCAACGTTTCGTCAGACAAGCCGAGGTTAATATGTACGAGAATGGGTATATCGAATGGCCCGATCATGTACAACTGAAAATTTTTCGTGAAATTCGGAAGACACACTTCTCAATTGATGTATACGATGATGATGATTACTCTTATTTCGGCAGTAAACGTAAAATTACTCGAATCATAGACTCAGAAGATGGTGGCAATACCAATGTATTAGACGCTATAATTGCGTTTCGTAAATATTTGAATATGAGACCATGTTTATATACCGGGTGTTTCAGACCACCCGTACACCCCATTTTAAAGCAAAGGAAGTGGTTATTTTGAAAAATGTTTCAGACAAAAGTTGTTGAAGATAAAGTAATGCATTACATGGGTAAATTTGATTGACCTTGGGTGGCGTCGTGAAGGTCATGTCAAGGTCGACTTGAATTTTTTAAATGGGAACCCCTATTTTTCATTGCATATTCTTGTAGCTTATCTCGAGAGCTTTCCAAAACACTATAATTAAGTACCTTTTTATTAAGTACTTTTTGAGTTATAAGGCTTGAAAATAATTTCTTAATTTTACATAAAATATCTAGTAAACCATTCATTTTTCGATTATCTTACCTTCATACTTTTATGTACAAAATAATGAGAGGAATCAATTGGTGTAAAGAAAACACATAGTTGTTTCTAAGAAAAAATATGTAATTTGCAATTAACAATTCCATATTTTTTCTTAGAAACAACATGTGTTTTCTTTACACCAATTGATTCCTCTCATTATTTTGTACATAAAAGTATGAAGGTAAGATAATCGAAAAATGAATGGTTTACTAATATTTTATGGTTTATATAAAATTAAGAAATTATTCAAGCCTTATAACTCAAAAAGTACTTAATAAAAAGGTACTTAATTATAGTGTTTTGGAAAGCTCTCGAGATAAGCTACAAGAATATGCAATGAAAAAATAGGGGTTCCCATTTAAAAAATTCAAGTCGACCTTGACATGACCTTCACGACGCCCACCCAAGGTCAATCAAATTTACCATGTAATGCATTACTTTATCTTCAACAACTTTTGTCTGAAACATTTTTCAAAATAACCACTTCCTTTGCTTTAAAATGGGGTGTACGGGTGGTCTGAAACACCCGGTATATAAAAATGTCGATTACAGTTGGGTAGATAGGTGTATCAATGACTGCACATACACGCCGTGTATAAATATACGTATCCCAACGGGCATAAACCAAACGTACATAGATTTAATAATCTGGAATGATTTTTATCATAATATTGAATATGATGATTTTAGAAAAATGCATTGCTGGTAATCATCATAAATTATTATATATAACGCGGTATTGTACACAATGTCAATCTCGTAAATGCAAATGTCCACCTGAAATTATATACAAAAAGTACGCATATGAAAAGAAAAAGCAACAGGAAGAGAATGTACAGGTAACGGATAATTTTTGCTAATATAATTACGAAATTAATTTAAAATATTCAAGTAATTATTTTTGGGGTGATTTTTTTGTAGGAGAATGTTTCAGGAGAGATGAAAAATCTGAATGGAGATCAGAATGGAGAACAAAATAATCTGAATGGAGATCTAAGTAGAAATCATAATGACGATTGTTATGTAAATTTTGATGAGCTAATGGGCACTTTATAATATAACGGATTAAATTTTATATTTTATATTTTTTCTTATTATTTTATACTTATTATTTTATTAGTCATACACATTTATTAAATTTTATATTTTTAATTGGAAAAATGTATTTATTTACAGACCTCTTCTTGCGTTCCCATCCCTGCGCTAGTTATAAGTATCGTTCTCTCTCATGCGTTAATCTTAAGTCTCTTTCCCTCGCACGCGTTGTTCTCGCACGCGATGCATTTCAAAGAAATGCTGTTGTTTATATTATTTATAAACCGAACATGTTCGTACGCAATATTGTTTATCAGCCGGGCATGTAATATAATATTGCCGTAAAACATCTAACACGCGCCGCCGCCGAAATTCCCTCCGTCCCGCGTGACGTCATTCCCCCGCGCAACCGTAATCCCCCGCGCGTCTCACCCTCCTGAGAGGACCCGAGTTAGAACTCCCCCTATAATCCTACTGTCGCCTCGCGACTTTTTATCTTGGCAACATCAACTTGACTCTAACACACTCGAATTTGAAACGGAACGATAACGGATATACGTATCTCGACGGAGATTTCGCTTTATACTATATTCTTTCAGAGCCGTTTTCTTTTAATTACGGTAGCTCGAGCTCGCAAAGATATTGTCCGCGTAAATCCCGCTTTTCCGGTAAGCGATACGAAGCGGTTCAAAATCTGCCAAGTCACTCGATGACTTGCGGTTCGGCCCGGACGTAACGGTAATAAAACGATAAAACGGAACGGTACAACATTAAACGGTACGAAACGGTACGGAAATTACGTTACGAAACGGGACTATTGGCACGAACCCCTCCTGAGAGGGGTAAATTCGCGGCACCCGGGGACAGTTGGCGTCCGGTAATTAACGGTACAAGTATTTTACTTTACGCGATAATGGTTACGATAAAATCGCCGCCCTGCGACGATCTTTCTCAAAGAGTCGACGCCAGCTGATCCCGGACGCAAATTACTACTCTACTAGTGCGACGGCTTACAATATCCGTTGGTATCGGCTTCCTTCAGGGTCGTCTCCTCCGGGTTCGCAGGTTGATGTGCACTTGTCACAAGCTCACCGAACAGTGTCCAATTTTGACTGTGTCCGCGAGGCCCTCGGATCCCGCGCCGATCTTCGGCCCATCTTGTCGATTTCTCGGAAAACGGGGGGGTTGGTTCTCCACTCCCTTCGACGTCCCCGTTGTAGGACGGCGTTGCCCTTACACAGAGGTTCTAGCTTGATGCTGGTGGTAGCGTATCGGTAATAATTCCGCAGCTCGGACTCGGCAGGCTGGCCAGGCCGTATCCTTGTCCGTCTTGTTTGGAGTATATCATCCCTCCCAGTCTGCAGCCCGGGATGATCGATCTTCCGATTTCCTACCGGTATCATTCTGAAATTTTTGGCAGAATTAATAATGTTCCGATATTTGACTAGCGGTGACGCGGGATCTCAATACATGACCTTTTTTTCTTTTTCCTCCACGGTATCTCGGGTCCATTCTCCGTCTCTTCCTGGCGGTCTCTTCGGTATCTTCCTTCATTACACGGTATCTTACGCTAGCACCGGCCGCTGCACTCGCTACACGAATCTTAAAGGTTACGCTAAAAAGCCTGAATAGTCGGATTATAATAAATTTCAATCCCCTCTCAGGTGCGAGGGACGACCCCGCGCACGCGGCTTCCCCTCGGCAGGGTCACTGTGACGGAGCTTAAGAAGCGTCACGTCACAACATATAAAAAGTAAATATAAAAAAATAAACATAAAATTTAAAAGAATATAAAGAATAGAATTTAGAAAAAGAACAGAATCAGAAAAAAGCGCATATGTTTTATTTAGTATCAAGAAAATAATATATATATATATTGCGACACTTTTGCCCACCTCGAGAACGCCGATCCCGAGGGGTAGCGTGCAAGTTTGGCGGTTACGGTAGCTGACGGTATTAGGTTTTAAAACGGTATCTCCAAAAAAAACGGTAACTTGTCAATCTCCTGGAAAGAGAGTGAATTTGGGCGCCAGGCGCGGTAATTCCGCGCCACGATATTGGTACGGTAACGGTAATGTCCGGGCTCAGTGTATGGCAGAGGGGCAGGATTCTTGTGAATTTTATAGAGAGAGAACGCTAGAGGATAATCGGGAGAGAGAAATAATCGACACTCAATATTATGTTAGTTACACAGACTTAAGTTATATTAAACTATGATAATACAGAGACAAGAGCAATATAATAGATAAATTCAGAATATAAGAAAATTCAGGTAGTAGATGAATCAGTACAATAGGTACGTCGATATATCCGAAAGTTCATATAAGAGCCAAAATTAATATAGTAGATAATTCAAAACATCAGAAAATTCATATAAGAGACAAATTAATATAATAGACAATTCAAAATATCAGAAAATTCATATAAGAGACAAATTAATATAATAGACAATTCACTATATAAGAAAAGGAACAGATAAGTCTCAGCATCTAAATAATCGGTATCATAAGTTTGAACAACAACGAAATTCAAATCGGTAATGGCTGACGCGAAGGTTAAATATATCAATAACGGGGACGCTCTATTCAGAATAGAAAATCATAAGTCCACACAAAGAGCGATACCGAAATAAATATAACTCAAAAAATCATAACAGGAACAGAAAATCACATAAATTATTAGCGGTTCGGTAATCTATAATATCCGCGGACTAACTACGCCAGATTTCCGAACATACTTAGAGGCACAGGCCTCGCCAACGAATTTCAGTATAAATTGAATTAATTTTCCCTACAAAATCGACGGTAATTTTCGGTAATCAATGGCAAAGAAAGATTTACGATCAGACTACGGTAACGCGTATACTTTCGGAACATCCTTGGAGGCACGAGCCTCACGCAGAATTTCGATATATCTCGAAGTATCTTTTACATAAATTTTTGACGGTAGCTTAAAATAACGGTATCCGAAAGTAATTAATTACAGACAAAGGAGGCTCAAGAAGTATAATTACGGTAGATGTTAACAGTAAACGTATCCTGAAAAATTTCGATATAAATCGAATCTAAATTTTCCCTCACGATAATCGGTAACAAGATCTCACATATTTTCGGCAATTCTTCTCGGCAATTCCTCGCAGTAATCTCAAGGATGACAATGCTAATATGGTTTACTCGATTTAACGGTCGTCTCATGACCTTCTATCGTTGATAACAAAACTTAACTTTCACACACTCGAATTTTAAGCGAAACGATAACGGATCAAGAGACACGGTAGTGTCTTGAAGTCGAGTCATCATCACTCAGGCGCAAGACACACCGTGTATCTTTACGCGAAAGGCAAAGTTGTGAGTGATGCATATTATCGGTTCTCAATAACCGCTGAATCGATCAAATTCTTATTAGGCTCAATCAATTGCTTGGGTTCGATTTATATAAGGAAAGTGCCTTTATTTTTGCTCTATGTGCTCTATAAGCAGAAATATAACGAGGCAAAGTTTCAATGTGAAACTTTTCAATTAAGAAACGTCACCGTCGTGGCTAGCTGCATTCTTTACATATTTTTCTTGTACGGTTTGCACGTTTGACGAAAGAGGTGCTGTGTTCTCGTGACGATGAGAGATGTACAGTACGCGTCAAAATAATTTCTCTAGCGAGAGTATAAGAATCGTATGCATTAAAGGATAGATATTATCAATTCTCTTTAGGAAAACGGAACTAATTATTGAAGTATACTATACTATTATGTCCTTATTTAATTAACTTTTCATAGATACATATTACAGAAATTTATTAATAAACGTTAATTTATTATGTCAATAATGTAATTATATATATATATATATACAGGGTCTACCAAAAGTGTGGAAACCCCTAAATATCTCGGAAAATATACGTTTTACAGAAAAGTGTTTCCAACAAAAGTTGTAGGGTTTAAGAAGATCTATATACTGATTCTATCAGTTTGACCTTGGATGGCGTCGTCAAGGTCAGGTCAAGGTCACATTGACTTTTTTAAATGACACCCCCTACATTTGATTGCATATTCTTATAGCTTAATTCAAGAGCTTTCCAAAACACTATAATAATGTTCATTTTTATTAAGTACTTGCGAGTTATGAGGGTTGAAATAATTTCTTAATTTTACATAAACCATAAAATATCTAGTAAACCATTCATTTTTCGATTATCTTACCTTCATACTTTTATGTACAAAATAATGAAAGGAATCAATTGGTGTAAAGAAAACATACAGTTGTTTTTAAGAAAAAATATGGAATTGTTAATTGCAAATTACATATTTTTTCTTAGAAACAACTATGTGTTTTCTTTACACCAAATTGATTCCTCTCATTAATTTGTACATAAAAGTATGAAGGTAAGATAATCGAAAAATGAATGGTTTACTAGATATTTTATGGTTTATGTAAAATTAAGAAATTATTTCAACCCTCATAACTCGCAAAGTACTTAATAAAAATGAACATTATTATAGTGTTTTGGAAAGCTCTTGAATTAAGCTATAAGAACATGCAATCAAATGTAGGGGGTGTCATTTAAAAAAGTCAATGTGACCTTGACCTGACCTTGACGACGCCATCCAAGGTCAAACTGATAGAATCAGTATATAGATCTTCTTAAACCCTACAACTTTTGTTGGAAACACTTTTCTGTAAAACGTATATTTTCCGAGATATTTAGGGGTTTCCACACTTTTGGTAGACCCTGTATATATATATATATATTATATATATATATATATACATTATATTTGTTATATAGAATATTATATATTTTATATATTTTAATATTAGTTATTTAGATTAGACATCATTCATTCATGTCATTTAACTGATAAAACTTTATATTTTATAGATTTTATTGATAAGAATAAGTTGTTTGCTATAATTAAAAAAGATATATCTAAGAAAGAAGGAAATTATGACATCTGGAAATAAAATTGTTGAATTAGAATTATCAAATAATAATACTTTTTATGTTGTACAAAACGTGAATGAGAAAATATTTTAACCAAAAAGTATTTAATATTATTGTCATATTACATACAAAAAAATACTAATTTTAATGAAGAAAAAGTAATAATGTACATTAATAATTAACTTTATTTTAAATAATGAATATATTATATGGAAATACAATTAGAGAAATACAATGAAATAGAATATTCACAATGAATATAGAATGAATATAGAATGAATATAGAAATACAATTAAATAAAAATGATAATTTTGCACTAAAAGTTATATACATTTAATTTATATTTAGTGTAACAATTTAATGCATAAACTCAAATATAAAAAAAAATCAACTACAACATTTTATGACTGATTATAGAAATACAATGAAACGGAATATTCATATAATAAATATAGAAATACAATGAAACGGAATATTCATACAATGAATATAGAAATACAATTAAATACAATTAAATAAAAAATGTTAATTTTGCACTAAAAGTTACATACATTTAATTTATATTTAATGTAACAATTTAATGCATAAACTCAAATATAAAAAAAAATCAACTACAACATTTTATGACTGATACTATGACTGATATATATCTTATATATATATATCATAGTATCAGACTGATAGTATGACTGATATATATAAGATATATATCAGTCATAGTATCAGTCATACTATCAAGAGATGCCCTAAAGATATATATGTCAAAATCAGTACAGAAACAGTGAAGAAACAAAATAAATATTCATCAACTTATATTTAATATTATCATTTCAACTTATATTTAATGTGATAATGAGTAGTTTAAAAAAAAAATAATTAAACTAAAAAATTATTAAACAAAATATTATTTCCATTCAGGAGTACCATATTTCCAGGAGTATCTATACTGATTTTGATTTGAGGCATGAACAAAAGTTACTTAAAAAATTACTTAAATTACTTTAAAAAAAAAACTGTAAAATAAACCATAATTAAGAAAAAAAAATAAAACAAAAAATAAACTATAAATTATAGTTAATTTTATCACAGTTTGTCTTGTTGTAGTTTGTTGTAGCTCATCAGTCTTGTTTTTCTTATTTGCTGTAGTTTGTTATAGCTCATCAGTCTTGTTTTTCTTTCCTATCTTTTGTGTGATGATAGAATCTGCAATAAAATTATATAATTAAATACGTATCAAAATATCTTAATATGAAGTAAATCCATCAATAAATATATAATTAAGTTCTACTTTCTAAATTAAAAAATTAAAAAAATAAATTAAATCAGTAATATTAGATGATAAACTTCCTGCCGTAAATATTTTACAATATTTAGCGGCAGGAATTAAGTTTACCATCTAATACCATATAACCATATAACTACCATATAACTATTAATAAAAACTAATAAATAGTATAAACTAATAATAAAAATTACAATAATAAAAACTAACAATAAAATAATAATAAAAACTAACAATAGTATAAACTAATAATAAAAACTAACAAATATAACTATTTTTTTACCTTCTGTCCCTTCCTCGATTTCTACCCCAATAATAATGGGCAGAAGATAATTTATATAAAAAATTCATAAATCTTTCTTCTTGTTTTCTTATTCCAGCAGCTGTATCCCTTGGTCTTTGTGCTGTAATTATTAAAGTAATTATTAAAGTTAGAAAATTACTTACTATATGTATGTTTTAGTGTAAAGAAATTTAGTGCAAAAAAATATATACAAATTAAATGTAAGAAAAATATATAAGTATTAAAGATAGTAAGTATAATGTTTCATTATCATGTAATGAAAATTACCTCTCTAATATCTCTGCGATCTCTGCGATATACATGTTTTGCGGTGAGTGCAGGAGTGGCACAACGGCGACGGAGGCAGCGGCGACGGAGGCAGGCTGTGACAGGGGCAGCGGCGGCGGAGGCAGCGGCGACGGAGGGCAGCGGCGGCCGGGGAGCAGCGGCGGCGGAGGCAGCGGCGACGGAGGCAGCGCGGCAGGGGCAGCGGCGACGGAGGCTGCGGTGGCGGGGACAGCTGCGACGGGGGCAGCGGCGACGGAGATAGCTTCGGGAATAGAGGAGGCGAAGGAGGCGTAAAGACGAGGTTTCTGAAGAGGAACATTGGAATGATCTTCTATTGATATTTCATTTAAAAATTCTTCGTCCATTAGCATCTACAAAAGTATTTAATATTTAATAGTCTTAAATAACAGTATTTTTATTTTAATGTAAGAATATATAATAAATTGATACTTACATCATTTAGATTTTTTTCTTTCTTTTTCGTGGACCATTCATCCGACATATTATTCGTCATCTTCGCCATCTTTGATCGAAATCAATTGATCGGATCATTTTTATAGATTCGTAACTTTATGCACAGTAAGAAAGCACGCCATCTTTGATCGAAATCATTGATCGATCATTTTTATAGATTTGTAACTTTATGCACAGTAAGAAAGCACTGTTCCTTATTGGCTTATTATTATTTTTAATATGGCGCCCTTGTAATTTTTCTTTATGAGATTTTCTATTAGGGGATTGCCCGATTAGACACAGTATGATTAGACACAGCCAATCATATCGATCGATGCCTAGGGTAACCAGCACGATCAAGCACGATTAGCTAATCAAAAGCCAGTTGTGTCTAATTGTACTGTGTCTAATCGGAGGTGTCTCTTCTATTATAGCATGTAAATTCGTCCATGGCCTTTCATTTTTCATGATTGTTAGTTTATGATTATGCTTCACAGGTTAGCTGTATCGTGACTTGTTTACGTGTTTGCTTTATTAATTTTAAGAAGACAAATTGTTTTGGGCATTGGATAGCAATAGGTGTTTGATTTTAAATTGTTTGATATATAATAAAGGTATTATATAAAATAGATATTGAATTAAATTAATGTTAAATTTAAATTAATGTTAAATTTGGTTAATAATTTTAATTAATAATTATAAATAATTTGAAAATATTAATTTGTATTATATTTGATTGTTTACACAGAATAATATTTTCTTTTATTTATTATTGTAGGATTATTAACTGCATATTTAACAAAAACATTTACTAGGATTATTGATTGCACATTATCAAAATTTGAAGCAACAAAATATTTAGAAAAGAGTGAGTAACTGAGACTGAATGAGTTTATATATATATTAATCAATGATAGAAAGTACGGTAAAGGACACGTATACAGATGAAGTTTTAATATTTCATGTACCAATTTTTTATCATGCGAGAAATTACCGACTATAATTGGAATAAATTGATCGGTACATAGAGTACTTTCCGATTCACGTATGATGCGCATGAAAGCGACAGGAAATGTATAGTTCAGTCACGCATGTTATACATTTTCTGTCACTTCTTGCGCATCATGCGTGAATCGGAAAATACCCATAGATGTCAATTATTTGGATCAATAATGCATATCGAATGTAATTACCCATCCAAATAATTGCCTATGTATCAATTAATTTATTGTAATTGCAATCGGTAATCTCTCGCATGACAAAAAAATTGGTACACGAAATAAAACTTATTCTATATGCAGTCTCCTGCACTACCACACTATCTAGTAATAACATTAATAACAGATTTCTAAAGTTTTTAGAGACTGAAAGATGTTGAAGGTTTGTAACTAAACTTAACATTATAATTTTATTAAATGAATTGCACTTGAATTAATTGAAGATTAAGCTTGTTAATATATTTTAACTTTACGAAGTTTGCAAAAGTCCTATACTTTCTTATTATATACTTATTAATATTATTTATTATACAGGGTCTACCAAAAGTGTGGAAACCCCTAAATATCTCGGAAAATATACGTTTTACAGAAAAGTGTTTCCAACAAAAGTTGTAGGGTTTAAGAAGATCTATATACTGATTCTATCAGTTTGACCTTGGATGGCGTCGTCAAGGTCAGGTCAAGGTCACATTGACTTTTTTAAATGACACCCCCTACATTTGATTGCATATTCTTATAGCTTAATTCAAGAGCTTTCCAAAACACTATAATAATGTTCATTTTTATTAAGTACTTTGCGAGTTATGAGGGTTGAATGATAGAGTAGCGCCGGTATTAACATTATCCAAGGTGTACTACATGGAGGTTACTCGCTCGGATTTGCATCTGTTGTGTGTGTGATCCAGCTAACTAAGGCAAGATCGGTCGTGGATCCAGTCAGCAAAAGCAAAGACCCAACCAAATTACAATCGAGCATTTAAAGACCTGGAAAGCAATCGACATAGTAAACAGTAAATAAATTTGTGGATGCTCATTTATCATAATAATTGTTCGAAATGTGTGCGTGTGCGTGCGTGCGGTGCGTGTATACAGAGATCAGGTTAGGTTGCACCAAACGATTGCAAATGTGTTTCAATGTGTTAAAGTAAATGCTGAAAGTGGCTGCCATTTACTTCCTGACAATATGCTAATCTTTGGTAGAATGTAGAAATGACTTTACGATTCGTTTCAAAAGGTATCAAAGCCATTTCATCCCTTATTCGCTGTATCAATTCGTGAATGGTTTTAGGTTTTGTTCTGTAAACCTTACTCTTCAGATATCCCCATAGATAATAATCAAGAGGAGTTAGATCTGGTGACCGAGGTGGCCAATCCTCTCCTCCCTCATTTCCGTTCCTTCTTCCTATCCACCGTAGCGGAAAAGTCTCATTTAAAATACGACGTGGTCCTGCACCAAAATGAGCAGGAGCTCCATCATGCTGAAACCATATTTCTTGGAAATTATTTGGAAAAGTATTCTGTATGGCTGGAATTATTTGATCAACAAGTAATCTCTCATACCTTTGAGCGTTCAAATATTCTTCAAAAAAAAACGGCCCTATTAAATAGCCATCTATTATTCCGCACCATACATTTATTTTTTGTGGATGTTGTGTGTGAGTTTCCCGCACCCAATTCGGATTCTCATCTGACCAGAAACGAAAATTTTGATTATTAACTTCTCCCGTTAAGGTAAAAGTTGCCTCGTCTGTGAAAACAATTTGATAAGGGAAGATGGGCCGGACATCTATTAGTGCCATCATTCTTTCACAGAAATGTATACGACGCTCCTCATCTCCGTTTTGCAATTCTTGAACGTATTGCAATTTATATGGATGGAACTTGTTCTTCTTTAAAATTCTCCAAACCGACATGGGAGCAATATCGTGAGTTTGAGCGACTCTCTGAACACTAGAATTGGGATCTTCAATAAATGTCTGCAGAACATCAAGTTGTTTTTCTTCGTTGGTTGCAGACAATGGTCTTCCTGACTTAGAGCGATTTCTTACGCTACCAGTTTGTCTAAAACGTTCTATTGTTTTTAACACAGTGGACTTATTAATTCGACGGTTCGGATACGTGTCATTAAATAATCGAACGACATCAGAGAACGATCTTTCGTTATCACCCCATCCACGCATCATGAGGATAGTGATTCTTTCACGTTCCGACAAGTCGCCAGCCATTTTTAAAACGTTTAATTTTAATTAATCGTACGTTGTATTTGGACGATAACAATTAATTTCTGCTTGCTCAAAGCTGAAGTTAGAAGGTGCTCGTTCTTTGATAGCTTTATACATTCTTAGTTGAATTTTAAATGCGAGTTAGACTGCATGTAGTGCGTCACATAGCGGTAAATGAAGGAACTAACGAGACGTTTCATACACGTTTTATGGAGCAATTTTTTGGCAATTTGACTTCAGCGAAATATGAGGATATGTTGAGGAATCGATCTTGCCTTAGTTAGCTGGATCACACACACAACAGATGCAAATCCGAGCGAGTAACCTCCATGTAGTACACCTTGGATAATGTTAATACCGGCGCTACTCTATCATTCAACCCTCATAACTCGCAAAGTACTTAATAAAAATGAACATTATTATAGTGTTTTGGAAAGCTCTTGAATTAAGCTATAAGAAATATGCAATCAAATGTAGGGGTGTCATTTAAAAAAGTCAATGTGACCTTGACCTGACCTTGACGACGCCATCCAAGGTCAAACTGATAGAATCAGTATATAGATCTTCTTAAACCCTACAACTTTTGTTGGAAACACTTTTCTGTAAAACGTATATTTTCCGAGATATTTAGGGGTTTCCACACTTTTGGTAGACCCTGATGTATA